GGCAGACGTTGTTCTGCAGTGCTTGGAGGGGTGAGCGGCCTTCACTTTCCATCCAATGGCAGTGGGTGGGCAGAGGTGTGCAGCCACTGACTCATCGAGAGGAGGTAGTTTTTCGTAGCCCCTTCCCTCAGCGCCATCCACTGAGGAGAACGCAGAAGAAGAGGATGTGCGAAGGCGAGCCAAGTAGGGAGCGCACCACGATATTGTGAGCTCGTCATGGACTTCCGGGAAAAACGGGGAGGCTCGTTGAAGAGGAGCCTGGCAGCGCTCCGGCAGGAACCATTCCTCTAGACGGCTATGAGTGGGCTCCTCCGGGGTAGACCACTCCAATCCCAGCTCTTAGACCACTTTAGAGAGGACATGGAAAAGTTAACCGAGGGATGCTGGTCTCAGTGTTCAAAGATGACAGGAGAATCCTCTCTTCTCGGCAAGAGCGAGGCACACGGGATCTGGGCCGGCGTGAGCTCGCTTCTAGCCGAGCGCTCAGTCCCCTTGCCCCGCTGTTTTTCCTCACAGGTCACTGGGAGGAAGAAAACAGGAGGGTGTGAAGAGCGGAGTCCCTCTCTGAAAAGAAAGCGATCCGAGCGTGCATTGAAGCGAAACTCATGTTCACGCAGTGTGAACACTCCATCTTGGTCAGAGCGGCTTCTGCGTGGGGCTTGCCCAGACAGGAAACACACTCTGAGTGGCCGTCGTCAGCGTGTAGTGCAATCCTGCATGAGCCGCAATGACGGCGCGGCATTTGAAACAACGCTGCTGCTCTTTTAGTCGAAAATTTGCTTTTTAGACTCGCCGGATGGCAGCAGGGGACGAGCTGACATCTGCGTTGAACGCTGAAGGCGGATCGTAGAGCAGGCGTGAACAGCAGAGAGGCGCAGAGGAAAGGCAGCTTCTGTCCGCAGCGAGGCGTGTCAACGGCGAGCGCTTCAAGTCCCGTAGATCAGCGAAGGAAAGATCGTCGTTGCTGAAGGAGAATTGATCTGAGATCCTATCGCGAAATGCCCACTTATATAGCCAGATGGCCCCGTCCATTCTGGCGGGCTCTGGTGGGCTTCGACGCCATAGGCTTGTGCAGCTCCGCTGTAAGGGAAACAGGTCAATAATTTAGCTCAAAGGGAATCATTTAAGATTTTAAAGGGAACTCCACCATTAATATGCAAGGGAATTAGGACAGAATCACTGTTTTACGGCGGATCACTGAGACGGCCAGCGATTCAGTGAACGAGCCGTATGACAGCAATTCTGCAATGGATATCTATATCCAAAATATAGTGAAAACACTATTAATTAGCATAGTAACAAGATCGGCAGTTTAAGACATTAACTTGTGAGCACAAAACACAAGATACTTCTCTTTTCCATATAAATAAGGCTTTATTGGATAAATCTAAGACATATAAACTAATCTAACACACGCATTCACACACAAGTTGCAGAAAGAGAGAAAGTGAGGAAAATAATTAGTTTAAGAGAATGAAAATGTGAAATCCCAAGTTACAGCAATATGTGCCATTGTATAGATCTGAACAACCATCAATCACTTAATTAACCCTCGCACTGAATTCCTCAATGAGGTTAAAATTGAGATTGACAAGTCATTGGTTCATTTTTTTATTTACTGCACAAGCCAATGGCCATGCAGTTACACCGCGTGATTGTAAAGGCTTCAGTCCTCTGAGAAAAGAGAGTTTTCCCCATAAGCGTCTAGTGACGCAGTACGAGTGAAGTATCAAAAGGGAACCTAAGTACCCTGTCTGAATTTCTTACAGTGCCTTACATTCATGTGTTGTCGGTTGGTGAATTTCACTTCAATAATGGATCAGAATCACTCATTCTGTTGTCTGTTTTTCGGTTTAACACCAACTTTCTTAGAATTAATTCATGCAACTTTTGATTAGTATTGAATTGAAGGTTGTCTATAAAAACATCTGCCAGTTGCTTCAGATATAGAGGGAATCAGTCTCTCATGCTTCACTCCAAAACTGTCCACAGTGGTTTGATAATATTCAGGTCAGGTGATTTTTCTGGAGAGGGCAAATGTTGAAGTTCATCTTGGTGCTCCGAATGTCCAGATTTATGATAATGACTCCATCTTTTGCACATTTTAGCACTGGTGTCTGCTTAAAGTTGTGGCAGTTGCAGCTCTTTCATGGATTTGTGAAGTCCTTTGTGGTTGCTTTTTATGGAAACAGGGTCTGTAAGGTGAATATTTTATATTTGAGGTTTGCTGTCACAATGCTGCAGTAGTTTTGTGTTGTTTGGGCACAGTCCTTTGTATTGTTTGGTTCCTGTCGTTCACTTTCACATTTCGCCCAGTTTTTCTTTATGGAGACAGATCAGCTTCAAAAATAACACATTTGCAAAACAAAATTCATAAATGCACAGCACAATTTACATTTACAAAATCCGATTCGTAACTTCAAAACACAATTCATAAATACACAAGTAAAAACATAAATATTTCACCAAATGCTCACACAAATGCATCTTACCTAAATAAATGTAAAATGTTTACACAAATATGTATAAATACATTTCTTGGAATTAATTTCCATCACACATATATGAATGATGTTACATGTATTTATGGATCATTGAATCTGCATTTGCAAATCGTCACATGTGCGTGGACTGCTTTGAATTTGTGTGCGGTATTTTTGAGACCTTCCTGGCAGGTTAAGATTCATAAATATCTTTTTTTGGGCTTTTAATCCACCAATCAAAACACTCTTTACTGAACAGACTCAAGAAGCTCAACGCTGTGCTTGTATTGTGCACTGTTCCATGATCAGGTCCTTGATGTACAGACATTTTAATGGGCAGTGTTGGGCAAGTTACTCTGAAAATGTAATTAAATGACTGATTACTCCTTTTAAAAGTAATCATGTTACTGTTCTGATTACTGTATTTCAAACGTAATTAGTAATTACTAGTTACTGTTACTTTATTCTCCATTACATTTATGAAATCCCAGCATACACGCTCCCGATAAGTATTTGTTATTAAAGCATCAACATTCACAGAACACTGTTATTTTAACTAAAGCAAGCGGCTGCTGCGTGCATGGTTTGGTAATGAGCTGGCAGTGAGCGCTAGCAGCCAGGTGCATTATGGGTATTTGTTTAGAGTTGATTTATGCGTTAATTAAGCAAGATGGTTAGGTTTTTGCGTTAGCAATGTTATTTTTGTTTATGTTCAAGTTAGTTCGGGTGGGTTTGGGTCATTTACTGCCTTGGTATAAAAAGTGTGGCTGTCACCGTCATGGAGAGAGATGTGTAGGGGAGCGACTTGGCGATATGGCCTTGCGTGTGTGTGATCTTATTCTGTGTAAAGAATAAAAATGTGAAAGATGACGGTACGGCCTTCTGCTGGTATGATCTGTCTGTGCTTCTGTTCACAGAGACATTCAGGGTCGTGTGGTGTATGGGACGGGAGTGTTCGCACTTTCCAATAACCAAGTTAAAAGTCTTGAGGTGTAGATACTAGCACCCTGTTAGCAATTAGCTTAGCAACAGTTTAGTAGCCTAGCTTAGCTCCAGTTAGCCCCACATTCTATAGAACAACTGTGCGTTGTTACAGTATGACAGAATGCCAGCAAAGAGCGCTGCATTTATAGTCTCTAAAAGACATCTCAGTTCATAGTTATAATATCTCACAAATCTCTGTTATAACACAATAAATATAAGCATAATTAATCGTTCAAAATGTCTACAATTCGTGTGTTATAATGAGAGGATTCGTGAGCACGCAAATTTCAGCACTGCATTGCTCAATGCTGCAAATACGCATTATAGCCGAAATAGAAACTCTGCATACGCTTGCACCTGTTATAACAGATAGAGATTTCAGCACGGAGGATGAAAACCACACTCAACGAGTGAGTAAAGTCATTATTTTATCTGATGGCATTTTCTTATGATTATAGCTGGTCGCAATGGTAACTTTAGAACCCACTGACTACAAATCGTATTTAACATTATGCAATAGTTTAGCATCGAAATCGTTGTTTTACTGATTGTTTATCGCCCATTCATCCTGTGATTACTAAAGTGTTCCTACAAACACCAGTTATAATATAAGAAAGCTGGCGAGGACTAACAACGTTGTAACACTGCACACTTAATTAACTAAAACAAGCTTTAATCATAAGAAAATGCCATCAGATAAAAAAATGACTTTACTCACTCGTTGAGTGTAGTTTTCATCCTCCGTGCTGAAATCTCTTCACTGTGTGTGTTAGAAATCTCCCTTCGGTGGTGATAGCTGTTTTTAATGCCTGATCAAAAGTTACTGTGAACCTGATACTACTACTAACAACAACAACAGAACACATTACATAATTGTTGTTATTAAATGAAATATCTGGACATTTAACACTTATTTGATAACATTACAGATTGATCTGAATAAACAGGGTATGTGCAACTTTGGTGTGTAAGACAGCAGGCTAACCAGGTAGCTGTATTTTGTGCGAACAATACATGAAACATCATTCATAAATGTGTGATGGAAATTAATTCAAGAACTTGATATATACATATTTGTGTAAACATTTTAAATTTATTTAGGTAAGATGCATTTGTGTGAGCATTTGGTGAAATATTTATGTTTTTCCTTGTGTATTTATGAATTGTGTTTTGAAGTTACGAATCGGATTTTGTAAATGTAAATTGTGCTGTGCATTTATGAATTTTGTTTTGCAAATGTGTTATTTTTGAGGCTGATCTGTCTCCATATTTCTTCACTGATGAAGCTTTATGTACACAGTCATAATCATAACTCATAACTCATTTATTAACATTAGTTAATGTATTAATTAAACTAACAATGAGCAATATATTTTTTAGAGCATTTATTAATCTTTTTCATGCTAGATAGTGGTCATTTCTGAGTTGTCAGTTTCAAATGACAAATTTCTGTCAGACATGACAAAAAAATTCTCCAGAACCTTAAATGATCATCATAGATCTGACCCATTTTCTTTCACTTCCTGTCCTCAGTCTGTGGAATTGCAGTATTACAGAGGAACAGTGTCTCATCCTGACTTCAGCTCTGAAATCAAACCCATCACACCTGACAGAACTGGACCTGAGTGGGAATAAAATAGAAAACAAAGGAGTGAATCACTTATGTGACGTACTGAAGGATTCACACTGTAAACTGGAGAGATTGAGGTGAGGAACATTCACATGCAAGAATCAAAATGCCTAAGATCACTTTTTTTGCTTTTGTCTTTAAAATGAAAAAAAGAGCAATCTTTTATCACCTATTTGACTTATGTTTTTTATGTTTGTTTTTATGTTTATGAAGCTGCTTTGACACAATCTATATTATACAATGCACTATAGAAGTAAAGGTCACTTGAAATACAGGAAAACATGTAGCTGTTTGTGAATCATGTTGTATTTAAGATTATTTTGGATGAGACGTTAAACCGAGGTCCTGACTCTCTGTGGTCATTAAAAATCCCATGGCACTTCTCGTAAAGAGTAGGGGTGTAACCCCAGCGTCCTGGCCAAATTCCCTCCACTGGCCCTTGTCAATCATGGCCTCCTAATAATCCCCATTCACTGAATTGGCTTTATGACTCTCTCTCCTCTCCACCTGTAGCTGATGTGTGGTGAGCACACTGGCGCCGTTGTGCTGTGGCTGCCGTCGCATCATCCAGGTGGATGCTGCACACTGGTGGTGGTTGAGGAGAGACCCCCCCCCCCCCCCCCCCCTCATCTGTGTGGGGTGTGGGGGGAGCGCTATATAAATGCATCATTCATTCATTCATTAAGATGTTTTATATCTAGCAAGAGCTAGAAGCTTGGCTAGTTGCAGTGGACAAATCAGGCCTACCTGGTAAGTTCAAGGCTGAGATATACAAACATAGCATTCTTCCTAGAATCCTCTGGCCCCACTTAGTCTATGAGGTTCTGATGTCTACATTGGAGGACTTTGAGAGAACAATCAGCAGGTTCTTATGGAAATGGCTGGGACTACCCCAAAGTTTGAGCAGCATCAGCTTATATGGGTAAAAAAAAAACAAGCTGAAACTCCCCATCAGAAGGGGAGTTCATGGTGACCCACACTAGGGGAGGTGCTACAGTTGCAGTACCTCGAGTCATGTGACCCAAAAATCTCTCAGGCAGTGATTGAGGTCAGGACATGTTGCTGAATCAAGTCTGGAGCAAAAGGTGTTGGTGGGCACAGTGGCTCAAGGAAGAACAGGCCTGGGTAGTAACATGATATTTTGCCATGGCAAGGCAAGGAGGAGGTCGCAGCTCCAAAATGAGGTACGAGCATCGCTCAAGGACGTGAGAGCCAGCAGGATGGTTGAGATGCAGCAGCAGGAAGCCTGGACAAGGTGGAAACAAATGGTGGAGTGCAAAGTCACTTGGGCTGGGCTCTTGAAATCCGCGCCCCACTGAATGAAATTCCTAATCCAGGTTGTCTACGATGTACTACCAAGCCCAACTTGTTCTACTGGGGGAAGGCAGAGTCACCAGCTTGCCCTCTGTGCCTGATGAGAGGGTCTCAGGACCAAATCCTCAGTAGCTGTCAAAGAGCAATGAGTGAGGGGCGTTATTGCTGACATCATGATGAAATCCAGAAGGCCATTGCAGATATCATCTCCAGCGGGATCACTCACTGCAAGTGCCTACCTCCACTGAAGAAGACCATAACTTTTGTCAAGGCTGGGGAGAAGGTAACACCAGCTACAGGACCACCTCCTTTGATCTGCTTTCAACAGCACAGGACTGAGAGCTGAAAGTCGACGAGGGAAAGCATGGCTAAGGCAAGACATGGTTCTGATATTAAAAGCCTCCAAGCAGATCATCCTTTTAGAACTCACATTTCCCTGGAAGGATTGTTTCGAGGAGACCAATGAGAGGAAGAGAACCAAGTGTACCGAGCTGGTAGAAGAGTGCCGGAGCAATGGCTTGTCGCAAGGTACAAACCAATTAAGGTAGGTTGCAGAATCTCTCTGCAGAGTGTATGACATGCTGGGCATCAGAGGGCCCAGCAGGCAACGGTGTATTAAGTCAGCCACAAAGGCAACAGAGGTTCCTGCATGGTGGTTGTGGATCAGGAGATAGTCAACCCTGGCTAGGTCTTCTGGGCAAGGGTGTATGGTTGTTGAAAGACTTGAAAACACCCTGATGGTCCCTGGAAACATCACTGATGATGTGTCCTGGAGCATCACTTAGTGATGTATGTTAAAGGAAAAAGATCAAATATTGTATAATAAAGTAGTGCAGGCCTAATAATGTGACGCCCCACCATCAGAATGATGGTAGCAGCTCTGGTTATGACCCTGTATCACCGTTGCTTTTTTAATGGGTGAAAAGCTTTTTTGATCTTGATGCATGAGATCAGAGATCAAAACCAACACCTACACAGAAGAAAGAAGTGTCAAATATGTGATAAACGAACGGTTTATTTGTTTTTCTGTTTTAAAGGTACAGTAAAAACATGGAAACAAATTATCCTAAGGCACTCAGACCATCTTCCTCTGTCTGTTGTTTTTAATTATTTAATTTATTTATTTTGTGACTTTACTAAATAAATAGTTTTCTTCTATCTTTTTATGCTCTCTTTCTAATGTAGGTTAAGCTGCTGTTATATGACAGATGAAGGTTGTTCTATTGTGACTTCTCTAAAAAAAGCTCTAAAATCAAACCCATCACACCTGAGAGAGCTGAACCTGAGCGGGAATAAACTAGGAGACTCTGGAGTGAAAAACCTCAGCGATCTACTGATGAACCCACAATTCAAGCTTGAAAAACTACAGTTAGTATCATTATACTGTACAGCAGCTACAGTGTGATTAACTGTTTAGTTTCTTAAAGTCACCATGAAATCAAAATGGACAATTCTTATTTAATGGAATATTGCAGTGCTTATTATAAATGATTTTATCTGTGTACATTGTGCACACTGTGTAATTTTTTTTAAAATATATATATAATTGTACTGTATGGTATTTACTCATGAATTTAACTCACACGATAACTTAACATGTGTTTGTTTCATTGCCTTTTCTCTTTTTATCCTCAGTCTGTGTGAATGCAGTATTACAGAGAAACAGTGTTTCATCCTGACTTCAGCTCTGAAATCAAACCCATCACACCTGAGAGAGCTGAACCTGAGTGGAAATAAAATAGAAAACACAGGAGTGACTCACTTATGTGACGTACTGAAGGATTCACACTGTAAACTGGAGAGATTGAGGTGAAGAATATTTACATACAAGAAAAAAATGTTTTGTTATTTAAATGAAACGGAATGAAGTGTGATTTTTCTCATTTCTCTTAATGTAGGTTAAAAGGCTGTGATATAACAGATGAAGGTTGTTCTGCGCTGACTTCAGCTCTGAAATCAAACCCATCACACCTGAGAGAGCTGAACCTGAGTGGAAATAAAATAGAAAACACAGGAGTGACTCACTTATGTGACGTACTGAAGGATTCACACTGTAAACTGGAGAGATTGAGGTGAAGAATATTTACATACAAGAAAAAAATGTTTTGTTATTTAAATGAAACGGAATGAAGTGTGATTTTTCTCATTTCTCTTAATGTAGGTTAAAAGGCTGTGATATAACAGATGAAGGTTGTTCTGCGCTGACTTCAGCTCTGAAATCAAACCCATCACACCTGAGAGAACTGGACCTGAGAATGAATGAACTAGGAGACTCTGGAGTGAAAAACCTCCGTGATCTACTGATGAGCCCACAATGCAAGCTGGAAATATTAGAGTTAGTATTATTATACTGTACAACATTTACGGTGTGGTTAAAGTTTACTGTTAATTTATTCTAAGAAAACAGACTCATGTCACATCATTTATATCACTACATCTTCTGGCATTTCCTCATCTAAAGAAAGACTGAACATTTATATTAGCTAATTAGTTACCGATTGTTAAGTATGTGTGTCATCATAAAGAACATTAAACTCTGAAGCATTTGATACTTTGTGGCTATAAAATGGTTTCATGTGCTGAAATCTGACAAATTTGCTGTGAAAAAAGACAACTAAAATAATGTAACATGATGCATTTAACTCACACGAGCTTAACATGGATCTGAACCATTGTATTTTATTTTTCTGTCTTCAGTTTGTGTGGATGCAGTATTACACATGAACAGTGTCTCATCCTGACTTCAGCTCTGAAATCAAACCCATCACACCTGAGAGAGCTGGACCTGAGTGAGAATCAAATAAAAAACACAGGAGCCCACAATGCAAGCTGGAAATATTAGAGTTAGTATTATTATACTGTACAACATTTACGGTGTGGTTAAAGTTTACTGTTAATTTATTCTAAGAAAACAGACTCATGTCACATCATTTATATCACTACATCTTCTGGCATTTCCTCATCTAAAGAAAGACTGAAAATGTATATTAGCTAATTAGTTACCGATTGTTAAGTATGTGTGTCATCATAAAGAACATTAAACTCTGAAGCATTTGATACTTTGTGGCTATAAAATGGTTTCATGTGCTGAAATCTGACAAATTTGCTGTGAAAAAAGACAACTAAAATAATGTAACATGATGCATTTAACTCACACGAGCTTAACATGGATCTGAACCATTGTATTTTATTTTTCTGTCTTCAGTTTGTGTGGATGCAGTATTACACATGAACAGTGTCTCATCCTGACTTCAGCTCTGAAATCAAACCCATCACACCTGAGAGAGCTGGACCTGAGTGAGAATCAAATAAAAAACACAGGAATGAGTCACTTATGTGACATACTGAATGATTCACACTGTAAACTGGAGAGACTGAGGTGAGGAATATCATAATTCTTAAAAGCGCATAGTTTAAATCAGATTCAAATAAGTTCATATATTGTTTGTTTACAATTATTAATTATGATTCTGTCTTTCTGTTTGTCTTTTTTTAGTCTAAATTTCTGTGGCATTACAGACGTTTCTGCTTCAACTCAGGCTTTGACAAACACAAAAGCACTGCAGTTTCTAAAAGAGCTTGATCTGAGAAACAATATGATTGGAGACTCAAAGCAGCAGCTCGTTGATGTGCTACGAGACTCAAACTGTGAACTGAGGTGAGTAAATATCTCTTTGTGGTATTAAAGAGAGCTTCATATAGCTTTAATACATGGGGCATCTTTCAAAAATATGTCAAAATACATTTGTATTAAGCTTTATAGGAAGAGTTTGTGTCAGAACAAATCTGACATTCAAAACTTTAATTGTTGTTATACATTTTTACATTGGACAAGAAATATTATTCACATTATTTAACATGATTTACTAAGACCAATAAAAGCAATGTTTAAACTAGGGGACAAACAGCTTTAACTAGTGAAAGTTTCACTCAGAGGTTTTAAGTTGAATTAAGTATATCATTTGTATTTGCTTTTTGTCATCAATCACATAAACCATAAACTCATCAGCATGTGTTTCTCTTTACAGTGACTCAATAGGAGTCATAGACTCTTCTGCAGTCATAACAACATTTGAATATAATTCATGTTTTAAATGGATTATATTTAAAACCCAAATATTGTTTTAGATATAGGTGTGTGTAACTATAGAGTAACTAACTTTAAGAATCTTAATTTAATGTGACACTTCATTTCACTTTTTAAATTGAAATATAGTAACTAATTTGCAATTCTTCACAGCCAACACTGATTGTTTTCTCTTCTGATTTCTCCTTACAGACTAGACCGTGAACAGCCTTTGTTTAGAGCTGCTACAAAGCACACTGGTATGCAGTTTACATTCTGGTCTAAATCTTAGAAACCTGTGAAATGAAAAAGAGCTTCATTATCAGGTGAGGATCCTCAGAAGAGCCTCATTATAGTTTGAGCATAAATGAATATGTGTGATGTGACGTCTGTACCCAGAATCTATTACGTTCATTAAATATTCAAACATGAACTCTTTTCTTAAATGAGAATATCAGCACAAAAAAAAAAGTTTTAACGCTTTAACTTATAGCACTGTGTCAGAACAGAGATTTTTATATTTTTATTATATGCACACATTTGCACAAAACTGCAGCTGTTAGTAATTTTAATGAAGGAAATACACACATGCACTTTAAAATTAATAATGCTACATTATTAGGAACATCCATGTGCAAGAGTGATATTTGATGGTTATTGTTGTTTTAGGGTTGCTATAAATTAATATTTTGTTTTATTAACAGGTGGAGCAGTGAAGGGAATAGAGCCAATGGTCAGAACAGAGAGGATTCTGGGTCTTCAGTATAAGCCTACAATCATAATAATTTTGGGATTAATGCTAATCATAATTCTAATGATCAAATTTAGCACTCAGATATATTTTTTACATTTACATATTTTTAATATTTGGTATATAATGTATCAAAATCATGTAAGCTAAATTTTCTAATGTGAGACAAAAGATGTGTTTGCTGTGAACTGAGACATGATATGATTTTATCTCCGGTCAGTTGTACTTGATATTGTTTTATGAGCTTTAATACAAGTTTGAACTAAAGACTAAATTGTGTTTCATGTATTTTTGTCACTGAAGACCTTGACAACTGTCTGACAGCAAAAATGCAGGAACGCCACATAATAATCTTGAACATTAGCATAAGGAAATCAAATGTCAAATTATTAGTTTTATTGATCTAGGATATAATGCAACTCCTCAAACTGCATCGATCTACTGATGGAATGGAAATTGTATCTGCAGTTTCTCAAGATCACCATAGAGTTCATCACACCATGTGAAGTATGTTTATGACCATCAGCCGTAAGCAAAAACGAGTTAATATTAATTTGTGTTGGGCCTCAAAAAGATCAAATGTTTAAACATCCAGATGAATATGCAGTTTAAATGTGCAGTGCATATTTGTGTATTAAGATTAAGGTTAGGGAGGCAATGCATTTGTAATTCTATTTGCAAAACTGCAAGACCTGTTAACCTCAATCAACATCAACATAAAAGAACTGATCTCACACATCTGAGAAAGGGACACTCTAATTAATGCTAGGTTATACATCATGGAGAACAATAAAACAGGTTTATGTATGGTATGGAAGCCCAGGTTTCTTTGACAGTGGCCTTCAGCTCATCTGCATTTTTTGGTCTCTTGTTTCTCATTTTCCTCTTGACAATACCCCATAGATTCTCTATGGATGTACTACCAAGTCCATCCAACTTGTTTTTCCTGGGGAATAGGCAGAGTCACTAGCTGGACTGCTGTGCCTGATGAGAGTGACTCTGGACCACATCCTCAGCAGCTGTCAAAGAGCACTGAGTGGGGGCGTTATTGCTGGCATCATGAAAAAGTCCAGAAGGCCATCGCAGATACTATCTCCAGCGGGATCATCCACTGTAGGCGCCTATTCCCAGTGAAGAAGACCACAACTTGTCTAGGCTGGGAGAAGGTAACACCACTAACAATCACGTTTATTTTTCAAATCCACTGGTCACAACTGAAAGCGGAGCTCAGAAATACCTTGTATCCATCAGGCAGGCACTAATATAAAGTAACCGAATAATAAATTGAATAAATGTTAAATATATCAAAGTAATATAGAAGTGGCCAAATCAGTCAACAGGACACCGGGATTTTTCCTGATTGACTGCGGGACTGCAGGCTGTAGGCTAGCCTACACACGTCAATGCCGTTTACGTTTGGGTCCAGTCGGGTTCGAAAATAAATGCCGTCGTGTCGGACTCGGGTCTAATTTCATCGGGTCTGTCTCGGGTCAGGTTTTTCTTTAAAACAATTTATGCACGTCGGTCGATTCGGGTCGGGTACAGATTTTAGGACCCGAGAAGACCTCTAGTGTGATGGCCAGCTTGTCCCTAGACACAGTTCTAATAACGTTTACCTGAGAAGATTTTGCTGCTTCATTTCGGAAGATTAACTTTTCCCTTCTTTACCCAGTCAACAATTTGATCTCACAGTGATCTCACCATGAGCTCCCAGTGGTGTATAAAGTACCTGAAAGCCATACTCAAGTAAAAGTACAGATATCTTACCACAAAATGACTTATCATGCTTTTAAAATCTTTCATAAGTTATTACACTGTTGGATCCTATACTGTATATTCAAAGAGCTATTATAATTATAAACTTCAGATTAATAACTCCTTACAAAGACTGCATACTGAATCTGAGTGAAGATTGTGTTGTTATCATCAACAACAAACCGGTATTACCTGGTTGCAGTCTCTTTTTGGTATTCCTTGCCATAACAAATGTGCTTTACAAACACAGTTACAGCAGCCCAAAAATATATGTTATAAAGTCAAGGCAAACACTAATCACCTTGATGGTAGCGTCAAATGAAACAATAAAAATCATCATCTAAATCTCTGTTTATTCTCAGTAAGCGCTTTTGTAGATGTCTGACAGAAATAAAGCAAGTCTGGTGATCCTGTTTGTGGAGTTTTTTAATCATTCTCTGCTGAGATCACAAATTATTTAATGTCTTTTGTATTTCAGTTGATTTCATCGAAGGCTGTGTCTGGAAGTCAGTTGTATGTTTGGAGATTCTTATAACAAAAAACTGTTAGCTGAGTGTGCACTCATGATCTCACCATGTGAGAACACTGTGAGAGCACTGTGATAGTGTTGAGAAACAGGATATAGAAAGCCTCCTCGGTGACTGATATTTGAACTGCCTCCTCTCAACCTGCTCAACATTTTGAATTCACAGTGAGCTCACATATTACTCACACTGTGAGTATCACCTTATGAGAATGGTGTGATGTCACTGTGATCATAGCATGATCTCACGTGTTTACTGGGTATTCTTCATAACCCGAGAATGCGGCGACACATACCTGGGGTTACGCCGCCTAATCGGTGCAGTGAAGTATAGTTTGAAAGGCTGCACGTTCGGCTGTACACATACACCGAGCCGCTTCAGACAGCTCACCAGTAGTGCTTCAACTCACGAAAACACACACAATTATCTCAAAATGCACGGTTTTGGCGAGTTACCTTGTAAACGTAGTTTTAAATGAGTTATAAAGTCTTAAATGACCATAAAGAGTTGGGAGAAAATCGGATATGTGTCAAATCCGAGTCATATGTATCAGGTTTTAAAGAGACTTTAAAGTGATTTTAAAGTGAAACCTGCTGAAGTCTGTCATGTAAATCAAAGAACAAAAGTTCTAGTCGCTAATTAACTTTTATAGCTTGAATAAAGATTAATCTGTACAGTTTATGCATATATAATATAATTTATGTGAA